CTCTTGACCTTTGACCTTTGACCCCCAGCTTCGACATCCCAACTCGTTTTGACAATCCTCCCCAATGTGCCGAATATCGTCGAGCGGTTAAGATTTGTGCCCAACTGTTGACGGACGCACGCACGGACGGACGGACGATCATGCGATTCTACAAGCTGCACCTGACTACGTCAGATAGTAATAATAATAATATAATAATAATAGTATAAATCATAATATGTTCATAGCAGGAATTTTGCATTAAAGATATTGTCAATGAAATCTTGTAAAACGAACCAGACGAGTGTGACACCACAGACTGTTTGTTATCTGCATGTCTATATAATATGCTATATAATTGCCACCCTACCTAATTTGCATAATTTTTTTTAAAATATCAAAACCCCTAGCCCTTATTCAATCACATACCAAAAATGAGCAAAATCCGTTGAACCTGAACTGACTAATGGCAATTCCAATTTTTGCAAAAAAATTGCCGTGGGTCGAAAGTACGTCGACTGGCGTGCTCCAAAATAGGACGTTTAATATGGGAGCATAACAGTAACAACTATACCCAATTTCAAACATGTGGGTCAACTGTTTCTGAGTTATCGTTGCCCGTAGCCAAATGATGACGGACGGACGGACGGACGTACGACGGACGGACGGACGGACGTACGACGGATGGACGGACGGACGTACGACGGACGGACGGACGGACGTACGACGGATGGACGGACGGACGTACGACGGACGGACGGACGTACGACGAACGACGACCCATGGCAATAGCGCAGCTTGACGATGTCAAGGTGAGCTAAAAATTGGCATCAGCTTGGGGCATAATCCTCAATAATGACAAAGCTCTACGCATTACCCGGTCTAAATCGCCATTGACCCTGACTTCTATATGAATGATATCATTCACTCTAACGTAAGAATATTATCTGTTATTGTAGCGTTGGATATAATGTTCCTTGGATTGAGAAAAGTAAATTTTACGAGGTTACAAAGTTATCACTCTCTTTTGAACTAGTGCCCAGGACGTACGCAACCCTGTCTCTCTTTCTACTTTATGCTTACAAAATTAATCTGCATGAAACATGTTTGGCAGTTCTAATGCGAATAACAACAGTTCAGTTATGCTATGACTAGTTCTATATGGCTTACCGAGATCAACACATGCATGCACAAACCTCTTATTGATGATGACTGGAAATGACGCTTCACGACAAAATCTACTAATCCAGGGTCTGCCCCGATGACCTACCAAACTATGTATGTGATTTTGTGCCTATACATGGGTACATGTACGTTCGGCTGGCATATCTACCAAGCAACCGTTGAGCTATAAGATATAAGCTATATAAATATTATGTAAATATTTGCTTTTGCTAGACCCTGCGCTCGGGAGATATCAAAGATCAGTTCTACCAATATATATTATTTTTATTGCTATTAGAGAAGACATCTCTCTCCGTCGACAAACATTAGGGAATAATATCTCTGGGACGGTGATCGTCATCTTCCTTCCTTAGACCCGCTAGTCGTAACTGATGTGTTTTTATACGCCACGAAGTTCGCAAGTGCATGTGCCAGCGTAGAAAAACTACTAGCAGGTCAAGGGTTTATGGCCCATGTAGGACTACATTACTGCGACTAAAATTTAAGAAATGTCCGTGTTTCACTGCTGTTTCCATCTCCATTATATCAAGTCATTATTGATATTCCATCTTATCATATCAAGCCACAGCTAACCTAAAGACACGTTCTTTACGATATCAAGAGCTGATGATACATATTATATTAGGTCTTGATGATATATAGCTAGGGGCTGTGTTATCCTGTTCACTCGTCCTAACGTTACAACGCAATTAACACGTTTAATTAACTTAATTAGCATACGCCAACAAGCTGTATTCGCGCGACCTTTGTAGCAAGCCGCACGGTTGTTCTTTTATTGCGGATTGTCCATTTGTGAGCCATATATTGTTTCCAAAATGGTACGCGCAAACACTTAATTAACGTCGTGAAATGTGGTGAATAAAATTAACGTTGTTAAATTATTCCATTCACTAAGTTCATCCTCATTCGCAAGTGTGCTCATATTACTTTTTTGGCCGAAATATTCTCCGTGGGAACGCATCTCCCATCACATAAAGGAAAACTGACTTTATGTTGCAGATTCTGAATTTCAGTTTATATAGACGCATTCTCACTATTTCCGAGTTATTACTGTGTTTTACGCGCGAGGTATTCACCATCTGCTGGGCGCAAGTCCGTAATCAAAGATTACACATAATATGTCAAAATAGTCACTTCGCCAACGAGTGTCAGAGGTTTTCTTTTTTAGACAATTTTGATTTATTGTCATGTCACTGTACAAAGGTCATATTTACATTACAAGTCAAACTCTATTCACAACAACACGCGTACAAATATAAGCTCATACATTTTCACAGTCGAATTCCTCCACGGAAGATATTTTGCGTCTCTATGCGGTTGCGAGAAAGACGTACAACAGTAAATGTCCATTCCTTTACCTAGTTTCAGTTGACAGCACATAACGAGCACGCACAGCCACTGTCTGCAAGCGTCCAGAGACGCCATAGATGTTTCTCGCACGCTCAATAGAAATGACGTGGACATAACTTTAAAGGTACGCGTCAACCCTTCCGCAGTAGGGCTACGGATGTACACAGATCTTGCAAAAAAACTCCTCAGCTTGCTAGTAGTTGGCACATGAGTTCATTGCTGAATCGGCGAAAAGGCTTCAAAACAACATCAATGCTAATCAATGCAACCATCTCGCACAGTCACGCACAAGTTTGTCAGCATGAATTGCAGCTAACAATATTGATCTTTTGCTCATCGGGAAGTGAGAACAATATAATATATTGACAAAAAAAATTGTGTCTCCGTACAGCGATTTACAGACAGTTAAACCCGCAGTACTGTATTTACATTTATATAACCACCTTCAGGCAAACAGTCAATCCGTTGTTTGTTTTCCGATGGGTCGGAGGACGCGTTCTATTCATTTACATTTCTACAAAGCAGCATAAATAATTGCATTCGTCTGATATTATTTACAAATATGTTCACAAAAGAATATACGTCTGCACGTGCGCGTGTCCGGGCACACGCGTGTGTGTGTTTGCCTATCTCTGGTTGTCAGTATTCAATGCTGACTCACCCATTGTTGATTTACTAGCTGAATACTACAGACTGCACGCGTGCAAATGCCCAGATTCTCGCTCGCATCTTGTTAAACCAACTCAACTTCACCCGCGCCAGTAGAACAAACGACAGTTAAAAGCATCATCATGTTGGTTCATCTTTAGCCACTTTAACTTAAGACCACTGACCCAGATCACATGCTGTTGACCCTGCTGACGAAGTGGATTCCAAGCGTTGACCAAATATGATGGCATGTGATTTAGGCAATCAGCTGAATGAAAACCTGTGCTTGCTGCTAGTTATTAGCCATCCTGTTATAGGTCACAATTGATCGATCACCCATTTGCGTTTGTTTGAGCAGATCAGCAGCAAGTGTTCACCGATCAGGCGGACCCCTTACAAATAGATACTAATACAACAGTGTCATTTTATTGGCTAGTCGTTATTGAACAAACTAGCACGTAAATACTTAATAAATATTATTCAATTTACCAGCAAAAGGTTTGACTCATCCAGCAAACTGACATTGTAATACAAATAATAGCTTCATTTCATTTTAAATTGGGTAACCTTTCCAGTCACAGATGTACAGATAACTAACTTCCAGTAACCACAGATGGCGCCACAATGTGTTCACACATATCACGAATGGTTGTGGGCATAGATAATGCTGCTGCATCCATATGGAACACCAATTTCGGTATAAACAATGCAATGTGAACGTGAACAACGCAATTTTGTCACGGGCATTGCAATGTGTGCATAGCCAATGCAATGTGGGCAGAAACAATGCAATGTAGACATACATGCCAATCCAATGCAGACAGAAGCAGTGTATGTAATATAGGCATAGATAATGCAACGTGGGTGTAAAATTGGTGTAAACAATGTAATGTAGGCATTAAAGGCCCGTCTCTACACACGCGGCGCGGCAAGGAACGCCACGGAAACGTTAGGAACGCCGTTCACCCCTACTGGCAAAGTTCAAATCTATTATATCTTAAGGCGCAGTCTCCACTGACACGGCACGGCGCCATCCCTGTTTCACGGCGACAGCGAAAGTCAAATGAGTGACTTTTGCCGGCTGCCGTGTACGGAGAAAGACACTTGAACCAATCAACGCGATCGTTTTTTATCACGTGTTCTGCTCGCGCCACCAGCAGCCAATGGACAACAAGCACATGCATAATTTCTGATCACTGAACCAGAGTGAACACAATGCGCTCAGATACAATGCGCTAAATCACGATGTGTTTTTTTTCAGCACAACGGCGCTGCGTTTTGCTGTGTCGTCTCCTGCCTCGTGTATGGAGACATAGCTTAACACCGCAAGGTGGACGTCTGCAATACAATGCGGGAGTGAACAATACAGCGTTGGTGTGAACAACACCAAGTGTGTATGTTGTGTGCGTGTGCGAACACTGTAACGCGGGTGGAGGCGAGTGGAGCTGTCACTCTGTGGGTGCTGCGATACGGCCGTGAGTCTCGTGGCCGTGGAATACGAGCACGTCGTTACACAGCTGCGTGCGCGCTGGCATCTGCTGTGAGCGGCGTATCCCAGACGTGGCTATGACTCGGAGGAGCAGTCTCCCTCAGACGCTGCCGCATAGCTGGCCTGCTTGAAGTGTGAACCGCTCTCCTGCTCTGAAACTGACCAGCAGAAACTCGATGTGAACAACATGCACGTACATGCTACACAGAAGCAGCTAGCGCCATATGCATGTAGTCCGACCCAATTACACAATATATAACATCAAGCATCATACATCATATATCCACCTGATACATCCAGAGTGCATATGACCTTCGAATTTAACTGTACCGTAGTACTTTTAATACATAATACGTTAATACATATCATATAATACACAATGTTCTTTGCGCAATGTTACATCCACTGACGTCCGCACTCAAAGATTTAACATGGCATTTACGGTGCCATCATAGTGAAAGGAAATGACAAAGCACACTTTGAAAAGGGACTATTGCACACGCCTGCCGCCGAGTGAAACAGAAGCCATCCCTACACCCCACTCACCTGTGCAGCTTCCCCGGTGGCTGCCCGTCTCCTTGCTCTTGCTGCGCTTTTTCCTCTTCTTGTGCGCAGCCGGCTTCTCCCTGCCCCCGCTACTCCTGCTCTGCTGGCTGCCGTAGGGACTGGCGTACGCGCCCGCGTCGTGCTGCTGCTGCTGCTGCTGCGGCGGCGGCGGCGCTGCCGCCGCATCCGGCACCGCCGCCGCGTCCGCCTGCCAGCTGAGCTTCTCCTGCGAACGCTCGCTGTCGTAGCCGTGATCGTTAGACTTTGGCTGCGGCTGCTGATTCGACGAGTCGCTGTTCTCCTTGCTGTGGGGGTTGCTCGGGTGGTCGCTCGCGTAGCCCTGGTCAGCGGACCGCGCCGGCCGCAGGTGACTGGACGAGGCGGCATCGGTCGGCTGCGCGGAGCCGGTCGCCGTGCCGACGGCGATCGCAAATGGCGGCTGGAAATCGAGAAATATTGTGAGTAAAATCATATCCACAAAAACGATGATCCGTCCCGTGATTGTTTGGGTCAGAACAACGGTCGCTTCTAGGAAGCATGAACCGTGACACTTGTCTACAACTAATGACACTTTTGAGAGTACTCTTTATACAAGTTTCATCTGCAACAAGTTGTAATTAAAACTCAAAGTGTGTGGCCTTTCATAATGGGACTTTGCCTGCAGCTGAGAAGTAGTTGCTTAAAACTAAAGGGCCTGCGACAACATGGGCACAACGCGAATCAAATTGCAGCGATGACCCCTTGAATTATCACATACATGCACTGGCAATCAATACTTCAACTATAATATAATTATTATAATTATTATTATTATAGTTGTTATTATTTTTATGACTATAATTTGTTTACTATTATTATTATTATTGTTGTTGTTGTAGTTATTGTTCTTCTTCTTATTATTATCATTACCAACATTATTATTATTATTATTAATATTATTATTATGCACTAACCGGAGGCGTCTGTAGGCCGTCTGGCTCCTCGACGAGTGGAGCGTCTGCCGCATCCTCGTCTCCTGCACCCTCGTTGTCAGCAGGATTAAAGCTCGTGAGTGGCAGCTGCGTCATCGGGTTCGGCGTCACCGTCATGTCTCTCTGTAAAGCAGATGATGGCTACGTTGATACAGAGAGCGAAATGCGTGCTTTTATTTAGGATGCATATGGTATCATGCATATGGTGGTTCTCGCTGAAGCAAGTGTTTCCTCTCTTTTGTAGAAGAAAAACACGAGCTACTATCTAGAATATCAAGAGTAGATAATAACACATAATAACACAATTTTGGCTTAACACCTCTACACAATAGCGGTGAATTGTGCCAATTCAGCTCGTGCAAGATTACAATTTACAGCAATATGCTAGCAAATATATGTAAACGAATATCAGTACCACGAAAGTGAGTGATTAGTGGTCATAATAAGCTGAGGAACGTATACACTTGCATCTTTATTGGTGGCAAATTTTGATGAGAAAAATCGGTTAAAAATGCGGGAATCGGGTGTGTAACTCTTGTGTTATTATCTACTCTTGAGAATATTCAACTCGTATTATCAACCAGCATTCGTATCATCACATTATATTATG